CATCAACCTCATGATTAACAGTAACGTGTTGGGTCATTGGAGAAGTCTTAATGATCCATAACAGTTAAGAAGAATCCCATAGTCTATTAGAATAGCAAATTGACTGTTACTTTTGGTCTTTATTTTAGGTTGTTTTGAAATGTATTGGTAACTGGTAACTGGTAATAGATAAAATAATATAAGAAGAAAGACTGAAGAAAATTGCTATCCTTTGTGAACTGCTTTTTATGACTGATTTAGAAATCATTTTTTTTATATTAATCTGCATTTTCAATTGTAATCAATTCTGATTTGCTTGTCTCTTTTATTCCAGCTGTAATCTTTCTTTCTTTTGAGCATCTAAGCAAATTTTATTTTAGTTTATATTTGTTTTTGATTGCTGTTTTCTCTAACTGGAGGCAAATTACTGAATTGTATGCAAGAAATTAAACTTCTGTAGATTCTTTCTTGTTTTTAGACAATGATAATGAATGTTAGATCTATCAGCATTCTTATAAGATTAATAGTCTTTGGACAAATCTAAAGTTAATCTCAGTTAAACATTAATGGTTGAATGTAGTCTCAAAAAAGTGGAAGAGTTGATTCAAAAGTAGATATCATCTCAGAATTACAATCAAACTTGACTAGCAATACTCATCGCATACATAATATCATCTGCTATGTACCAGGTTCCTTCAGGATGATGAAGATCATGACTCTCCGCATCTTCCTATGTCTTTGTAATGTTTTTTTTTTTTTGCCATTCCTTCCATTCTGACATCTATTCACACCAGCTTGTCAGATAGGTGGCCTGCTGCCTACTTCTGTCTTTTTTCCTTTCAATATGTTCTGTGAGTGTCAAACTTTTCAAGCTCTGTTTCCTCATTATGTGTCCAAGAAATTTTTCAGCTATCTCTGATTCTGAATATAAGTGTCCTTTTCTTTCCATTTTCTTTAAGACTTCTTCACTGCTTATGTGCTCTCTTACTGGTATTCTTAGCATACTTCTGTAGAACTACTTTTCTGTTGCCTCCATTCTTTTCATCTGTGAGGACATTGTCCAGCATTCACTACTATATAGGAAGACTGATATTACATAGCAGTTCAACACTATTTTCTTTGTTTCTAAGGAAATTTTCCTGTTTCTTAATACTTTTCTTAGCTTTTGGAATGTATCTTTTGTTAATCTAAAATTTTCTGTATGTTTGGTGTTATGCATTATATAAGCTTGAGAGTGTTACTATCTTAAAATGTCATCATATATTTAGCATATATTGAGGGTATTTGTTTGTTTTTTCATTATTATTTTCTTAAATAATATTTCTTTCACATTAATTTCAACCTTTAATTGCAATGACTCATAGTATCATTTTATGATCATTAATAAGCAACAGATCTATGAGGGAATTGTCCAACATTCACTGCCATATAATATAATTCAGTACTCTTTTCTTTGTTTCTAATGAAATTTTTTCTGTTTCTTAATACTTTACTTAGCTTTTGGAGGCAACTTCAGATTTCAGTATCACACTTTCTATCCTCTGTTAAAACATTTTCCAGATATTTAAATTGTTGTACTTGTGTTTGATTTTGTTTTCTCCAATTTCTAATTTGTTTGTTGAACTCTTCCTTTTGCTGCTAACCATGCACTCTGTCTTCTTAGAATTGAGTTTTAGTCCTTCTTACTTTCTTTTACTACCTTATGTTGGAGTGATTGTAGTTTCATTTCTACTTCTGCTATCAACACTGTGTAATCTGCATACCATACTGTTAAGAGTGTGGGCATCAATAATAAATCCTGGTAGAACTTCTAATTCACTCAGAATTGCTTCATAAGTTGAATAAGTCTGGTGAGAAGACACATCATTGTCTTACACTGCTTTCTATTGTGTATTTACTGAATTCCTTTTCTATCCATATGCAGGTGGTTTAGTGCATGTATAGGTTCTGTATTTTTCAAATATCCTTTTCAAATATGTCATCATTATCTAGCAGTTTCAAGAGTTGTGAGGTATTTTATCAAACACTTTTGCATAATTTATACAGCATAGCTGTTTGCATTTGTATTGCTATTTTTGAGCATAAATATCACATTCATGTTCCAGTGTTTTTAATGAAATCACATTGTTCTTGTCCTATTTTCAGTCTAATTCTATTGTGCAGTCTACGCATCAGAATTTGGGTGATAAGTGTTGTTATATGGCTCATTATAAAATTACATGAAATCAAATTTTACATGCATATTAAAATTAATTATGCAATAAAGTTGTTTATAAAATCAAAAACTGTTTTAATTAGTGATTAAGATCATTAATATTTAAATAAATTTTGAATTGCTTCCTGTACAGGTAATAAAAGCAATATGCTCTTTCATACTGATAATATTTAAAACACTTACCTTATATATTGACTAAAATAAAATCCAAAGGAACTGTAGTTTCTCTATAGTAGCCTTACTATTATGAACTAGTTTTAACCTGAGAAAATGTCATGGTTTTCCTATTTGAATTTTCTGATAAATCTTAATTCTTAGGTCAATGATTGGAGGAGCTCCTGGAGTGTTCTATGAAAATAAAATATTCATAGAATTTCCCCTATCACATTGTTGAATATTTGAGATAAAATCTTTAAAAAATATTGCAATAGCATTTATAAATATGAATGCTGTCATTATTTTAAGAAGTGGGGACATAGGACAAGATTTGTAATTGACAACTTTTTCCATTACACTGAAACAGCCATTAAACACTTCTTTCTTTTTTTCATTTTCTTACTGAAACCAAGTAGTGTCTTTTCCCCTCTTTCCATGCAATCAAAATGGAATAGTACACTATTTATAGGATAATGGCAGGACATATGTTGTGTGAACTAAAGAAAGAAAGGACAAGCAAAATTATAATAGGATATTATATTAATAATATATTAATATCATATTGATATGAAATGTCTTGAACTTGAGACTTTAGGCATATCTGCTTATCCAGAAGGGTTTGCACAACTGAACTTGAACAAAAATGAATATCTATCACCTGCTTGGCTTATTTTCTTTTAGGCAGGAAGATTATTTGTTTTGTTTCAAAGAATTTTTGAACTTTTTTGGTTTCCATAATTTACAAAAAAATTACAATATGAAAATGAAATTGCAGCTAAAGTGGGATTGTCCTTTGATTAGAAAAACCAGGATCATAAATCTTTATAACATTGTTCATGGGCTCTGAGGCTAAGCAATATCTACTCAACCATAAGTGTTCTGCAGAAATATATTTTTCAATTTGCCTATCCAGCTTCCACTAACAATTTTTTTTGTTTTTTTATATTTTTATGTTTATAAAATTTTCCTTCTACGTAATAAATTGTCTGCAGGATTCTGGCTTCAAAACAAATGCACAAAAATAAAGAAGAGTGACCTCCCCTTTTTTTGTTTGATGTGTGTAAAATTTATTTTCTTGAAGATTTCTTGATTTATTAAGGTAGATATAATATTTATTACTAATGTTTATGAATGATTAATGACCTGTGTAAGTTCTTCATTATTATTTATCCTGATGACAAACACCCTGTTTAACAAACAATTATTTATTTGTAAACTTTACTCCTAAAATTTATTATAAATAAATAAGTGTTTCTCAATTGAAAGAAGACATTATGGATGGTTTTTAGCAAAAGGAACAGCTCAACATGCAAAAAAAAAAAAAAAGTACACCTAGTTTCTGATTTTATTTATAAGCTTCCTTTTTGTTCAGCATTGATTGCCATATAGGACCATTGGTATGACAGCAGTTCAACACTCTTTTCTTTGTTTCTAATGCAATTTTACTGTTTCTTAATATTTTGTTTAGATTTTGAAATGCATTTTCTGTTATTCTAATACGCCTTCAGATTTTAGTGTTACATTTTCCATCATCTTTTATAAAACTTCCCAGTTAAATTTCTGTACTTGGTTGAATTTTGGTGTCTCTAATTTGTATCTTGCATCTTAGGATGTTCATTTTCATATCATTAAAATATAAAGTGAAATTTTCATAGGTTCTATTGGAAGGATTTTATTTTTATTTCAAGCTAATGCATATCAGTCATACAACTTAATTGCTTCTGAACCTTTGATTTGAAAGGTGAGGTCAGTAAAGTATATACTGCACCCATCGTAAAAACTTCCCCAGCACAAGCTATTCCAGATGTCCTGTACCCAATTGTGTGAAGGTTGCCACATGGATTAAATTATACATTTAAGCCATGATGATAATGAATGAAGGTAAAAAGGGGAAAATGACATCAGAAATTTAATACCTAAGAACCAAGAAAAAAAAAAACAAAAAACAAAAAAAACAATTATGAGCTAACTGGCTCTCATTCCTCATTTATCAGAACTCAAATTCTGATGAATGAAGAGAAATAACTGCTTATTTTAATGATGTGATTAAAGTGATAATTATATTTGTCTTGCTTACTATAATTAAATACTATACTCTTAACTAAATCTTTAAGAATTTTAAAAGAATTGAATAATGACTATTTTTCTATAACTTTAAGAAGAGCCATTTTATTTAGTGGTTTCAACGTGGTGTAGCTTCCCTTTGTCTTTTCTACAAATATTTTCATAGCAACTGCTCTGACAAGCTATTTTCCCTGGTACCACAACTACATGAATTTAAGTGTGCTACTAAATTGGTATCTAGGTCCCACCCGTTTACTGTTGAAATAGCTAAATGCAAGTGTTGCAGAAGATTTTTTTTTTTGCATAATGTTTTAGTTATTCATCTAGCAGAAGTTGATTGTCACAAATATTGTGGTAACCTCATCCACAACACAAAGGAGGACTTTAATAGTATGAATATAATCTGGAATGAGAAACAATATATTTGAATCCTTTTATATGGACCACATATGTTTTTGTTAAAAGAGAAAGAAGTAAATGCTGGTCATCTACATTTACATTACATGCAGAGAACAACAAAATAAAAAGTCAGAGGTGGGGAGCTGAATCAGACATTAAATTCTAAATATTCCTGATTCTATAAGGCTTACAGCCATATCACATTGAAGCACTGGTTCTTGTATGATCACCAAAGATAAACAATGTTGAGACTGGTCAGTACCTAGATGGGTGACCACTTGGGAATACCAGATGCTGTAAGCTTGGATGTGCAGGTGGTGTAATGGATAACAACTCGGAATTGAGGATCAGAGAGTTCTAATTCTAGTCAAGTTCATTATATTCACATATATTCAAATACTCATAGGAATGGTATGAATCCATATCTTCTCCCCACAACTATGGGTTAATTAGTAGGATTTGTATCAGCAAATCATTATTATCTGCAAAAAATTCTTACAATCTAAAAATATTTTCTAGCTTTAAATAACCTGCAAAAGATTGATATGCCATTAAAAACAAATTAATCAATCAATCCTGATTCTATATTCTTATCTGATCATTTCATAAAAATGAACATTTGTTAGATATATTATCCTATTCTAACCATTTATTTTTGGTTTAGATTTTAACATTTAGCATTCTGCATCATTTATAAATATTACTTCTCCTTTTACTGCATATGGAATCCCTTCAAAGTATAGTGAATTATATATTAGTTCTATATATTTGAAATTGCAGTAGCCTGGTTCTCAATTTCAGTCAAGATTGTTTTAGGTGTTGCCATAGAAGGATATGATTACACAACCAAGAAATTCAAATTCAACTTTCATTGATAGTCCTAACATTTTCTTTGCAGAAAATAGTCATGTAGAGAGTGCTAATGATTAAATACACATTTGTATTTTATTTGTACTTCTTTTCAGGAATGAGACCAACAGACTTTTTTCTGCATATAAGATTTATAAAAGTTTTTAAAAAGCTAATGTTAAAAAAAACTTAGAAAATGAAGCTTTATGATTTATTTAAAAACTTATTAGCAGTAATGATCTTCAACAAATGATACAGTTCAGCTCAATAATATTACCATGAGATGAAGCCAAAATGACAAATTTATTCTTCTGTTTAGCCCCCATTCTCACAGATGAAACATCGCAAACCTCTCACTAATCTACTGCTATTTCCATGGCATGTGTTTTGATAAGCTAGATTCACAGGTACCAACAGTCTTGACCTTTGCAACTGGGACCCACCTGGTCATGTACACAAGGATGAATCATCCTCATTCACTTCATATTCTATTGGTAAGTGGTAAGTTTCACTCAGACAGATTCTTTCCAAGAACTAATGCATTGTAGAAAAGACTCCCAACAGGATATTTTATCAATCACTACAATCATGATCTCTTCAAGTCTAGGGTTAACCATCATCTTTCCTATATAACCTCATGAACTGCACTTCCTGCCTTTTCTTACATTCATAACACAACACACAGTAACCCTCTACCTTGAGTGGCTCTTGGGTCTTGCATTGGGTGAACATGTCATATAAAGGCAGGAGCCGCCCAGTTTTCATTTTCAAGTCTTGATAGACTCCAAAAGCTGCATTGCATCCTTGTGGGTGACAAATTATTTTCTACCCTACAATCCCTTTTTCACAAATGAAACATCACTGTTTTATCACTATTTCCATGAAAAGTGTTCAGACAAACAATATTCCTTAGTTCCATCAGTTTTAACATCCATAGCTAAGACACGCCATGCTATGTACATGGTAGCAAACTACCCTCATTCCCTTCATATTCCATTGGTGAGATGTAAGTTTCACTCAAGCAGCTACTTCCCACAAATCACTTTGTAGAACTGACTCCCATAAGGATGCATCCTTGATCACTACAATCTTGTTCAAGTCTAGGGTTAACCATTATCTTCCCTACATATCCCCATAAACTGTACCTCTTACTTTGTAACTCTCTACCTTGAGTGGCTCTTAGGCCTTATATGGAGTAAACATTACTGTAAAAAAAAAAAAAACCTAAGTACCAAAAAATGTTCTCAGTTTTAGCAAAAAGTGGGATGGCTGAATTCCTTGCAGCCACCTATAGATAGTGTTGTAAAAGTATTAATATAAAACATTATAGAACATTTGAAAACAATAGGTAAAAATATACTAATTTGAGACTACAATTACATGATATTACTTGGTAAGCTGTTGTATAAAAGATAGCCTCTAAGCAAACAAATAAACTTTGTCATTTCACATTTTCAGATTACTTGAAATGACAAATTTAAAAATGAAAAAAATAGTTATAAATAAAGCAAATTACTAAAACTAATCTTGAATACAAAGATAAATATAAATAAAATTGGTAAAATACCAATATTCTTCAGAGTTTTAAAAAAAAAATCACTTTGCAAATTAATCACACAAAAATTTAAATTTAAAAAAGTAAGCTGCTAGTTCAAGTCACTTTTAGGAAAAGAAAAACATTTAAAAAGCAAAAAATTTAAAATATTTTTAACTATAAAAATCTTCTTTGGGGATATTTACTAGAGAATCCCAAATAGCTTATGGGATATTTCCAATAATCATTCATTGCTTCAAATCTCTGTGTTTATGCATTAATGGTCTAATGAAGCAGGCAATAGAAAAATTGTGTTTTTTTTTTGTTTTTTTGAAATGAAAAGTAGCTGAAGTATAAATGAAGTGAAAGTTGGATGTGGAGAAAGACTGGCAGAAAATAAGCCATTACTTGCAGGCTTGAAAAAACAAAAAAAAGTGGAAAGAAAAATTGAAAAAATACCTTGGAATATAATTTTTTTATTGAATAATGTATAATTATTTTATAGGAAGAAAGAGAAATAGAAAATAATAAAAATAATCTGAACAATTTGGTGAGAAAAATATTCTTTATTATTAATTTATGGACAGTGTAGCTTAATGTTGGCTATGACAGAGAATAAATTATTGATTGATATTTTAGAAAGGACACAGCTAAGAAGCAAGAAAATTGCAGTGTCTTTAAGAAATTCTATGTTAAATTATAAAAAATGAAAGAAAAAGTACTTGTGAAACATCATTTCTGTAACAACTCGACCTAATCAATGGATTCTCTGTTTACAGAGTCACTTCTTGAGACTTTTGCTAATGCAGTTTGTGGTGACATCAATTTGATTTTAATCCCTCCAATTAATCAGACTAATTAATCAAAACAAATATAAGACAATCAATGAAGTAATTTGATGTGTTTACAAGATCTTCATAAAATAAGAAGACAATAAAAAATGGAGAATTAAACACGTTTTTGGCACCTGAAAAACTGGACAGCTTTTCAATTAATTTAGATTAAGAATACAGAAATAAATCTCACAGCTGTCTCACATATGGTAATTAGTTAATTCTTTAAGAATGAGTTTAACATGTAAGTGAATCACATTTAATAAGTATTTGAATTAGGGAGAAAACACTTTTCAAGGATAACTGAATAGAATTCAAATGAATTGCTAGGAAAACTTAATTTCTTTGGGAAAGCTATTAGAATAATCTGAAACATGACTGGGGAACAAACCACCTGCTTCCAGAAAGAAAATAAACTTAGCAAGTACAAAAAAAAAGAAAAAAGGGGCATGACACAAGGACGTGCCTTCTCTTTGGATTTAATTAAATTATACAGCAAGGCTATCCTAAAAGAATAAGACATTCGACAAGGATTTATTATTATTGGACACAATCTTAATATTGTAACAATAGTTCATATGGTTCAAAGAAGGGTGGTTCTTGCTAAGTCTTAAAGGCTTCATTTTCTTAAAGCCATTTTAATCATTGTACTGAGAAAGTGGTTGTATACATTTGAGAGTTTTATGCCATGCATGACATCTAAATGAAAGTCTTGATTTGACAAGTCCATGGCTCAAGTTTTTAATGTTAATATTTTGTTTTGTAGCAATTCAGAAAAACTACACCTAGCACAGCCTATTCTAAGTTCAATTTCTTTGTTTCCTAAACATAATTTGTTATAATTGATCTATACACACAGGTAGTTGTAGTGTTTAGTATTTACTAATTCAGCATCCTTGTATCTTTTATATATATATATATATATAGTAAAGGTAACAAATCCATTGGTATATAATCCAAGTGGATCCTAGTAATATAAAATATTAAAACTGATCCACAAAATGTTAAATTCCTCTGATTTAAGAGTAGGCTTTATTGTATTTTATTATTCTAATTTTTTCTTCTAAACATAAGTCCCCCCTATCTCTAAGACTATTAAGAGTATGTGTGGAACCTATACCTAGTGTTTTAGTTTAGGGTTAGAAAATGAGTACCTATGGGTATAAAATCTGTTTCCATTCCTCCACGGAAATTCCAATGTAAACATAATTTTTCCTATTTTCTTTGGGAGAAATTATTGCTTGAATAAAACCCTAGTAGATCTGCATTTGTTCTCGACTGGACAATTTTCTTTAGATCTCCAATTACAGGAGGGTTCAATACCAGGTTTGTTATTTATCCCATAGAAATTTCTTAAAATATGGTTATTGCATAATTGATAATTTTATACATGTTGTTGGTACAGGAATAGCTAATCTTAATCATTTTCCTATTGAAGATCTTATTTAGAGTGTTGTTTTTTTGAATGTGTTTATTTATTAACTTGAGAAAATGTAAGGGGTGATGTGGTCGCAGAAATTATCTGACAGCCATGACTAGATTTTCCTGCTTGTGTGGCATAGTGCAGAGTCCTGTTGCCAGATATAGGGTCTTCCAGTAGCTACCTTCTTGACCCAGGACAGCACTACCTCCTCAAGGCACGATGTAGGACTCTGTGTTGAGTCTGAGGCCCTGTGGGAAGATGAAAGGGGGGGGGGTAACATTGCCATCACTAGTGATCACTCCAAACACCTTTGTAATCACTATTAGATTCATCCCTCTTTCCAAATCCTTTGAACTGTCCTCAGATTGACACCCAAACACTCTGAAATGTTCGTATTGGAGCTTCTGGTGCAAATACAAAGCAGTACAGCATGCAGTTTCTGGTGGAGTGAATTGTGTCATAGAGCTCTTTTCCTCACAGATGGTACCCAATTGACTCTATTATATGGAACAGTCAACAAAATCAAAAACATACAATGTGCATGTGCAAAATTAAAAATATAAAATAGTGACAAATTACCCATCACATCTTGTATATTAAAGGGCTTTGACAAGGTGTCACATTGGGGGTTTATACATTCTTTTTTTATAAATACAAATATT